ATCTTTTTATTGTTTCTCTTCTACAGGGCTGCCCAGAGGATTCAGGGGGCCTGGGGCAAAGCGTGGGAGCTGCAGCACTTGTACTCACCTGGCGGCGGTCCAGGTCTTTGGCGGCATTTCAGCGGCGGGAGGTCCTTCAGTGCTGCCGAAGACGCGGCACGACTGAAGGGCCCCCCCGCCGCTGAAATGCCGCCGAAGACCCGGACTCCCGCTGGGCCAGGGCTCGCGGGGCCCCTCAGGGGTCTGGGGCCTGGGGCAAATTGCCCTACTTGCCCCTCCTCTCCCCCCCCCCAGACAGCCCTGCTCTTCTATTTCCAAATATGTATAACCAAAGGTGGGTCTGATAGGCTGATACTACCAGGTTTCTAGCTATACTCAAAAGCATTGCTAAAGCTATTTGATTATTATTGTGTCTTATTCTTCTTTAAGCTGTTTTTGTGCTGAGTTTAATCTGCCAGGTTGACATTTTCATTTTTTCCAGTACAAAGGAAACCAAGAATTAAAGAGAGATGAAACACATGACAGACCAGGAGTTTCAGGTCATCTGACAGATGACACATGCTTAACTGAAATAGGAACCAAGGACCCCCCAGACTCAACAAGATTTTACAGAGCCGTACTTTAGAGAATGTGCCTTGTGACTGTAGGTTTAAGATTAAAAAAATGACAAATGCTAGCTGAGCCTATTGCAGTGTAAACAGATCTCCTTACAGGCTAAGCGAGTTACTCATATTTCAAGATGATTTAACATAGGGCCATCGTCTGTTACCTTGCCAAAAGGACATTTCTCTGAGAGTAGCCCTGCTGATTTAGATGAGAATACTCCCAGGGAAGGGTACCTCTCCATGTACGTAAGGGCAGGAGATTTATGGCCCATAAGGAAGACATGAAAAGGGATGTTAAGGGATTGTAAGGAATACATTCAGTAAGTTTATGCTTCCATTATTCAGCTGGATGAAATTCACTGTCTCGACTAAAGCTAGAGTAAATAGGCTTTGTGTGAAGGAGCTATGGAAGAGTTGTAAGGAACAGAATCAACCTCTAATCTACAGACAGAACCCTGGGCAGCTCAGGCCACTGCTTCCTCTCTCAGGCTGGTACAGTTACTGCAATTCCTGGGCATCCCCTAGGCAAGGGTTGTGCTCACTGGACCTGTGTAATCTTTGACCCCCTGGCCACACCTCTTTCCCTTCCACAGCTGAACTCCAAGCTCCCTTCCTTGCTGGCCTATGCAGAGATGGCGCACTTCCCAGTTCTTCCATGTACAGAAGATGCGGAGTCCCCATCTGCGTGTGAGAGCCCCTCAATCACCTACTCCCCAAGTAATGAAATCTCTGTGGGTCTGCTACACTGAGGGCCTTCTGCAGTCCATATGCTACTGGGTGCATATCACTTTCAGGGCTTACAAACAAACAATCAGGCCACTAAAGAATTGAACCTTCAGTATGCTAGTAAACCTTACCTATCTGATTCCTGCTTGCAGAATAAAAGGCATTGACGACAGCAGCCCCACTTATCCACCTACAGAAAACACACAAGAAGTCTAGTTAGAAATACAATTTGTAACAGCAAGCTGTTGGGTATGGGAACAGACCAGGAAAGTGACCCTCTCCTTCACCTGTTACTGAAAATATTTAGATTTCCTTTTACTGGCACTAGAAGATTTCACTGGCAAAATTTCAAACACAAAAAAATCATCCTGAATCCAGATTGCATATCTTCAAGTAGTGATAAACACCAACATAGATTATTATGATTTCAAAGTATTTATGATTCATTTAAAATTGTGATTACAGTCTTATATGTCAATGTTTTCAGGATCCATCATCAGCTCTAAGTCCAGAAATCTAGATATTGGACTTGATCCTGTGGTCATTATACAGGGATGTAGTTCTGTAGAGCTACGAAGGCAGCTAGCCACACCAGGCTGCTACCCAGCAGCAGCAGCTATAACTGACTTGTGCTCCATTTCCCATGACCCACTGTGGACACAGACCATGGAAAGTTTTGCCTCAAGTGTTTGACTGACAGCAACCCCATGGCTCCTGATTGGCTCCCTGACCTATATAAACCCAAGGGGCATTCCAGGGAGTGCCTAGGCAACACTGTAGTTATTCTGTGGCTGCCAGGACTGGTCCTGCTCCTTGCTGTTGAATTCCTGGCTTGACCTTAGCTTGATTTGGACTTCACTGCCACACTCAGACTCTGAGCCTTGATATTAACCCTGGCCTGGATCTGACTATGAACTCCCCTGCCACTCCAAGCCTTGGGTTTCCCCCTTCTCTGACCCTTGGCCCTGATTGACCTTGTTGGAATCCTGACAGGGCAAATCTTCCAGTCAAACTGATGAGAATTGTACTTCCGTAAGACCGCAGCTCTGAGCCCTTATTTACTATAAAAAATATTCCTATCTAAAAGGGGTTGAGTCTGCAGAGTACTAAGCACCTTGAATTCCTTTAAACTGGAGTTTATAGGTGCTCAGCCTACAATTTGCTTTATAAGCATTTCAGTGTTGATCATCACTGTATCTTGGGGCCTCACAAATTAATTATGAGGTAGGAAACTATTACTCCCTTTAACAGAAAAGGAAACCCAGGCACAGGGTCAAATAGGAGGGCTGTCACCGAGCCAGGTCTTCTTGGCTTTCAATCCTGTGCCTTAACCACAAGACAACCTTTCCTCCCCTTGTAGGGTCAAGCCTACCATCTGGAAAATACTTGAAAAGGCTTGGCCGTTTTTAGAGTTAGACATTTTTTACTGCTTTTCACTGGCACTCAGTTTAAGATGCTTTCCAAAGCAGACACCTAGGACTAGACCTTCAGTGAAGAAGCTTCAGCAGCATCAGTACTGCACACGTTTAACTTGCAATATTGGAGCTAAGGGTGACATTTCACATCTGTACAGAGGGCCAGAATGAGGCCTATGCATCAGCTAAGTCATACTTAAGATCTGAGACAAGAGGAACGTAAGTGGTGCATGTGACTTCTGCTGGCCCACTGCACAGGGGTTTATTTCACCCTCAGTGATTAATTTACAAAAATACCTCAGAAGACACCTTTGCCCCAGTAATCTCTTGATGATAAAGACCCAACAGGGGATATTTTGGTTGGGGGCGGCACGGCTAAGTGCTCACTGGAGAAAGGTGATACAATTGGCAGAAATGGTCTGTCTACTGTCAACTTGATATTTATATTAGATGACGTGAAAGTCATGAAAAGGTCAGCCAACTTTGTGATTTCACTGACTGTAAAAGTTTAATTTATAGAATCAACATAGACGCAAAAAACACACACACAAAGGATTTTTGAATTGTTAGTAAGAATGGTTTCTTGTACCTATCTTTCACATACCCATAAACCAATGTGTTGTGTTGTTCATTTATGTTCTGTTCTCAAATACAGTCCTGATGTAACGCCACTGACTTCACTGAAGCGGAGCCTGCTGACACTAGTGCTGGATTTGGCTCTGGAGACCTGATTCTGTGTCTCACTGGTACACTTCAGGAATACATCCATTTGAAGTCAATGGAGTTATATTAAGGTGAGAAAGGTCAGAATCAAGCCCTGTATCTCCCATAGAGGTAGCACTCAGCAATGCGTAGGATCTGGCCCAATGTTCTGGCTTATGATAAGAGGATAGGTTTTTGCTTCACATCACATCTGAGCCCATATATTCCGAGCCAGAATATAACCCTAATTGTTTTATTAGGCTTAATAAATGTTAATATTTAATATTCTACTTGAAGTTTTCCAAGCAGACGTTGGATTAATGGGATGATATTGTAAATGGTCTATTGGATAATTTCTTGCCTATAAGTAATAAGTTACGGTGATAGAGTCCATCATTTAAATGACAATAAACAAGTGGACGGTGTGAAAGATCAGCTACTCTGTGTGTGGCTCATACCTGATATAAAGTAAAATGAATATTAAGAATGAATAATGAGTCATATATAATAAATCATTTGGGCCTGATTTGCCTCTCACTTACTCAAGTTTTATACCATGGAACTCCACTGACTTCGGTGTAGCTATTCCTGCCTACCACGTGGGTGTAAGGCTATGTCTTCATTAGAAATGCTGCAGCTACACTGCTGTATCGCTTCACTGTAGACACTCACTACAGTGACAGGAGAGGCTCTCCCATCGCTGTAGTTCAAGGGTAGGCAACCTATGGCATGCGTGCCGAAGGCGGCACGCGAGCTGATTTTCAGTGGCACTCACACTGCCCGGGTTCTGGCCACCGGTCTGGGGGGCTCTGCATTTTAATTTAATTTTAAATGAAGCTTCTTAAACATTTTAAAAAC